AGATCCCAGAATGAGTTTTAAAGATTATTTGTTAAATATAACAAATAACTGTGTCTCATTTGTCTCAGTCGTTACACAAAGCAGTGTTGTTCTTTTGAAACCTTCATTCATTAAAGATTCCTGAAAAAGATGCATCATGGTTTTCACAACAACAAAAAACTCTTTATACATATATATATATATATATATATATATATATATATATATATATATATATATATATATATATATATATTAAGCAGCACAACTGTCTTCAACATTGATAATAATAACAATTGTTTTCTGAGCAGCAAATCAGCATATTTTAATGATTTATGCTGGATCATGTGACACCTAAGACTGGAGTAATGATGCTGAAAATGTGCTTTGCCATCACATGAATTGTTTTAAAATAAATTAAAAATAGAAAACAGTTATTTTAAATTACAATAACATTTCACAATGTTTCTGTTTTTACTGTATTTTTGACCAAATAAATGCAGCCTTAGTGTATATATATATGTATAGGCAATACAAGTAGTTTGTTTAGGCATGGGTTGTATGGAATTACAAACCTGCGCACATATTTTCAAAAGCACATAACTATAGAATCAATTCTGAATGAAACGCCGTCAGCGTTAATCACAGGTTCGCGTTTAAAGTCTGATCATTTCGACGGAGGTGAATCAATCAAAATTAACTTTAGCTGGAAATAACATTATTCAAGAACCGCTATAAAGCCAAAACAATCTCTGTTACCTTAAATTATATGTTTATCTCTGTAAAGCTGCTTTGAAACAATCCATTGTTAAAAGCGCTATATAAATGAAGATGACTTGACTTGACTTAGTGAGAACGAAACTAAGAGTGAGCAGAGAGAATGAGAGATAGAAGGCAGAGTTCAGGTAGAGAGTAAAGCCAAAGCCCCCAAGAAGAAAAGACAAAGAAAAGTGGCAAGGAAAGAGTTCCCCAAGAAAAGGACCCAGAGGAAAAGAAGAGCCGGAGCAACAGTTACAATCTTTTATCCCTTTCTTGACCATGTGACTGAAACCCAAATGTAAGACATTCGAACTGACCAATCAGCAGATTATTGCTCACCCACCATACTAAATGTGTGACAATTAGCAGACCCCCGATGTACTACTCATATCTTTCCATACAGGCCTTGATCTCTATCAGCACCTCTTGTGCCTTTATTCCAAATTAAAGAGGGGTTTGGAACAAGAGACCAAAAGACTTTGTTGATTTTCATCCTTACAAATGTTTTTCACAGTGATGCTCGTGTAATAACTATTGATTTCATAGTGATTGTACTGGTGTTTGAACAGATGCTCTGATGTTTGTCTTCTGATGTTTGAATTCATTCAATTAGCCAAATCATATTTGTGACTCTAAATCTGCCCCCTGCGGTGAGCTGTATACTAAGATGAAACCGTCTCCTTATTCATGGACGCGGGAAGTAGGGGTGCTGCAGGTGCTGCAGCACCCCCTGTTGGCAAACTGTGATGACAATAAAATGATAGCTTATAAATATATCTCTGGTTGTTGTTTCTGTTCCACAACATTTTGTGTGTCATGTTTGGGGTGGGGGATTAAGGGAGGGATATTTTTAGTAATTATTTAATTAAAAATTATTTAATTTATCTTCAGTGTGTAGTATTAGCCAGTCAGGTGTCTTGAAGTGAATCACGCGATTACGATTCAGCCTACGCAGCACAAAAAACCATAGACTGTAAAAAATAGCAAAAAACACACAAAAAAAACACCGGGTGCGTCCCAATGTGCATACTATGCCCTAAATAGTATTGACAATTACTAATGTCACATAGGCTACTATTTAGGATGGATAGTATGCACATTGGGACGCAGCTAGTCTAAAAAACTGCTAGTGATATAACTTAACGTTAGTCTACCGGTATATCAATATCAGCGCTATAGCAATACAATTAGTTAGCTCATGGCAGAGTTTATCAGCCGAACTCCAGAGCGCAAATCTACCTTTGGTGTACCAAAATCATCGTAAGGTAGAGGCACGGTGTCTTACATCTCGGCGTCTTTTTCCTGCCGCCGTGCAGGCCCAGATGGTAGCCAATGTGATTGTGATTAGCATGCCTATTATAAAGAAACGAACCTTTTACTATCATGTCCATTGATTTTGATTAATATGCGCGAGGGAGAGAGAGAAAGGAAGACAGCGCTTGTGTTGTGTGAAGACGTGAGAGTGCGCGCGCGTGGCCGGGGCGCTCTCTCTGCTCGTTTGCGTCCTGTCAGTCAAACGCATCAGTTATTCTACTCTACAACACTCACCGATCAAAAAAGGCTTTGGCGGGACAAAAATTTGCTTTGGCGATCCGACGGGTTTTAGAAGATTATTAAATACAACCCGAAACTAAAAAAACAGACCCGGCCTCTATTTGAGACCGGCCTTTATTTACCCAAACCCAGGGCCGGATTAAGAGTTCAGAGGGCCCTGGGCACAATGTCTTGTAGGCCCCCTCTTAGGCAGGCCAAATGTATATTTTGCCCAAGGACATTTTAATATGGCATTTACAGTTTTACTGACTTAAAAGGAACTTTGTTGTACTATGCTGGAGTAAAGTTCCTAAATGGTCGTTCTTTCCCATAGGAATTTGTAAAACTGTTGGGTGGACCTCTGTGCCTCTAGGGGGGTTCGGGGGCATGCTCCCCCGCAAGAAAATTTTGTACATTTTAAGGTTAAATGCATCAATCTGGTGCTCTTTGAGAGATCAAAATTAAGAGCTTCAACCCATGAACTGCTCGTTGAACAAAGAAAAAGCATTGATTTGTACCAGGACAATAAAGAGGGCTCAAACATCTTTTTAGTTATGAGAGTCTCAGTCTACATTACATTATCAATGGTGTTTTAGGATGCCAAACAATTATTATAATAATGTAATAATGATTTATATAATTATTCCTATGACATAAAATCCGTATAGCCTATAAATGTACTATAAATGAAAATGAATATTTCAAAAGTATATTTTAGTCTACATTACACTATAATACAGGAAAATTAAAATACTTTTGTCCTAATTTCTTCACTTGCAAGAAACCCTTGAGCTTTTATTTAGGAGAAAACACCAGATCACCATGCTGATCGCGTGAGCAAAGAGCGCACTTTTCTTTAAATCACCCAGCACACACAGGATGCCTATTCTTAAAGTCTTGTGCTGTTTTATAAAGGCACAAAGCCATATCATGGTTTCGATTTTATTTCGGTGGCAAAATATAACGCTAGAGACCTTTATGTTAGGTTATACATTTTACATCTCATATGTGTTGGGAAAAGGGAGAAGAGAGAGTTCGGCAAAAGGCGGATTCGAACTCGGGTCGAGCGCATCAAAAGCTATTATCAAGCAGTTCGCGCGCTACGACCTACGCCACTGTAGCTATTCCGTGACGGGCGTCTTTTTGGTAAAAAGACAGGCACTTAGTGCAAATATACGCTCCGTTATCTAAAATATCTTTTTTCTTCCCCTCGCTTGGGCCACAAGTGCGCATGGCGAACTTGCAATGATTACATTTTATCAGACCGGCCCTCGCGGCATCGAAACACTACCGGCCCACCGGGGAAACTCCCAACTCTCCCGATTGCCACTCCGCCCCTGGTGCCCAGGGCCCCTTAGATGTCATGGGCCCCTGGGCAAGTGCCCAGTTGCCCTAATGGTTAATCCGGCCCTGCCCAAACCTGTCGCCACACCAGGCGTGTAAAAGAGACAGGCGTCTATTTGGGACTCGGCTATTATTTGAAGTTTTACGGTATAAAGATCGTTGCCGTGCTTGCATCACTCCCTTACTCCTCCTATAGGCTAGTCCCTATGGCCACTTGGCCTGCGTGAATGCAAATGGAAAAAAAGGTTTTGAGGGAGAGTAGCAATAATTTGTTACATTTATATAGCGCTTTTCTAGGTACTAGTAATTAACAGATCTGTTTAGAAGTGGACTTTTCCTATAACCACGTTCCTGTAATTGCTTGGTCAACCCCCCCCCGCCCCTCGCAGCCCGCTCCACGCACCCCCTGTCGAAAATGACTTCCCGCGTCTCTGTCCTTATTGGAATAAAACACCAGCGGAGAACCATGTTTTGCCCCCTCCTGATATTTTGGAACAAATCCATCCACAGTTGCTCTCACAACCTACATGTGGGCAACAGATCTTACACCTCCCGGAGCAGCCATTAAGCCAAATGGTAGCACTCCCCCCTGAGATAGGCCTTGTAGCAACATTTTAAGGAACACTTCAGCCTCCTAGGATGCACTGTAATGTGAGCATCTCCACGGGAAACATCGGCTCAAGCCATGCTATTCTGTTAGTCATGGTCCTTTTGGTGTCAAAAAGTTTTTGAGGTTTGAGTCAGATCGTCCTTTAGTCTACAAGAGGAAAATCACACTTAGGCCACCAAAGTATTAGTCCCGCCCCTCCTCCACTGTGATTGGACGATTGGGTAAAAAGTGACAGTGATGAGCCCTGCGTTTTACCCAAAGTTGAACATTCTTCAACTCTCGGCGACCAGTAAAATACGCCGAGTGCTCAGCGCTTCAGCGTGAAAAAAACGTTCAGCGCCTCGCTACGCTCATTGCATTTTAAAAACGCGGCGCTCCCATTGAAAACATTTGAAAAAATACGCCAGCCGCGTGAAAAACACTTTGGTGGACACATGGCCTTACTGTTATATGATACTGCTGCACTTGTATTGAGCTGTAGGTGTAGTTTACAAAAGGACTCCAAATTAGCATTAGCATTCCAAGGAGCACCTCCACAGTCCTTACCGAAGCGTATTGATCGAATCTGAGGCTGTAACCCGTGACGTAACTGTTTCAGCAAAGCCTTGTGAAAAGGTTTTCGGTGGCTCAACTTTAGGTCACATCCGCAGGGACACAGCCAGACTGTATGGATCAATACAGGAGCTTCACAGATTATGTCCATTGATTTTAGCATGTGGACCATTGCTTCGTTCAGAGCATGACTGAGATTGTACATGTCGGATTGTGTTTGCAGGAGCGGAGGGTGCAGTGTTCAGTAACTCAGTGGAGACCCCGCATGTGAGGGCCGAGCCCTTCAAAGAGTTACGGTAAGACTATTGATTTCTGGATTCTGATTAGGTGTTCCATCCAAGGTGTTTTCATTTACTCTAACTACACTGTAATTACATGTCCAAATATTTCAGTTATAAAAGAATGTAATGATGTTCAGTTATTCACATTATTTTTTAAATGCTACGAGTTTTATTTAATTATTAGTATCTTTTAACAATTTACTTTAACTGAGCAGTACATGACAGCAAATATATTCTAAATAATTACATGTGTTTTTCTGAATAAATAAAAAACAGGGGAAATTATTAAGTATCCAATCCAAACAATATTGGCTGATAGTGTTAAAAGAAAATTCTAATATTATAACCAACATGGTACTGATAGCACATCCTAGGTTTAAGTATTTGTTTTATTTTTTCCTGAGAAAAAACTACTGATTACTAAAATCAAAATGCTATTTTGCTGTGTTTGTGTATGTTTGTGCTTGAATCTAAAGCCATGATACTGATGAAAATTATGAACCATTTAAGAACACTAGGTATCTCGCTAAAGGGGCTTTTTTTTTTCTTTGAAATATGCTGTTTATAGATCTGCATCTGCTAGCATTATCAAAATCATTAACAGCAAGCTCTTCACTAAAGTACAGCTGCAGAAGACGCCACATCCAGAGCCGTGCTACCGAGCTGCATAGGGAGATGATTGCACGTCGATTGCAATTTCCCACACAGAGCGTAATGATCAAAGATTGCGGGGAAAAATGATTCTTTTCCAGCAAGCACTACACATGTCTCTGTTGAAAGCTACAAAGGAAGGAAATAAAGCATGACATTTGTGCAAATTCCACTTACCCCTAAATTTAGGTTTTTAGCGTATGCATCTGGCTGTCAGCAGATTATAGAGCACCTCTGTAAGCTGTTTCCGACAGCAGAGAGGAAGGGGGGGTAACAATTTGGATTACCGTCTTAAATGCATCACTATCGGTTGTAAAGACAGTCGCATGGAAATTCGGAAACCTATCCTACACTGCTTATTTTAGAAACACCCAAATGGATGTTTTGGTACAGACAGTTGTCATGATATTTCAATACCATCTTGTCTAAGGTACTCGTAAAACAAACAGGATGTCAGTGCTCTGTGATTTTAATGGTTCGCAATTGCTTTGAATAGAGTTTATGTCCTTTTCTAAGCTATCGAAGGCCGTCTAAATCCAGACAAATGTTCCCTATTATTGCAGGCTTTTTCAATTCAATCAGATACATTGTTCCACGGTTATTATTGGTCAGCGTTATGGTGGGAGAAGATAAGAGTTATACATTAGACTGATGTCATTGTCGTGTAATAATGGTTTGGATAAAATTCCAACCTCCTCTAACACGCCGCTTCCAAAGATCAGGCCGCGCATTATGAGAGTTCTTGAGGGGATAATCGCTCTTGCTCTTTGCTCTGAAAGCTTTGAGCAATTACAGCCAATTTAAGTGTTATTTTCTGCCTTTGTCGCCAAATGTCACAACAAAATATGTCCCTGGTCTATGCGTAGTATCTGAGGCCCCTTTGGAGAAAGTGCTGGCGCTGTAAAGTACAGTTTACCCAGTTTACTGAAGCTACTCGTTAAGACCAGGGCTCGATCCAAGTAATGTTGTATACATGCAGACAAAGGAAGATCAATGTGTTTGTCGCTGGCACCTCCTCTCTTGGACGGACGTGCTTTTCTGTCCTGATCGATGCCTGGATGCTCATCAAAATCTAATTAAAGTAGATTCTCATTAACTAAAACAAACACGTGAAGTGCAATGCCAATACCCCAAGCAGTAGGCGAACATGAACGACAGAGCATTGGCAACTGGGTCAGATATGGCAGGGAATGCACATTTAGCAGGAAATAATGAGCAATAAATGGCCTGTGGGGAGACGGGCTCCTCCTGAACGGCCTGCGCACACACAAACACATTACTGGCCCATTCCTGTCTGTTCTGCTGATGGAGCAAGCAGAAGTAAAGCCACAAGCACAGACAGGTGTTGTGGCTTATCAAGCTTTCTGTGATGAACAAGGACAACACACTGACAGCCGTCAATCAAAATGAGGGGTGAAATCTCCCTGAATACCTGTTAACAGGACTGTGTTTAAAGGGATAGTTCATCCCAAAATTTAAATTTTCTCATCACTTACCCTCAAGTTGATCTAACCCTGTCTGAGGACACAAAATAAGATATTTTGAAAAATGTTGGTAATCAAACATTTGACGGTAGCCATTGACTTTCATAGGGGGAAAAAATACTATGGAAGTCAATGGCTATACCTTCAACTGCTGGTTACCAACATTCTTCAAAAAATCTTCTTTTGTGTTCAACAGAAGAAACAAATGAAGATATTTTTGATATCATCTCATTATTCTTGTCCATCCATTGAAAGTCCACGTAAACAAATTTTAAAGTAGTAAACGTAATAAAGACATTCAAAAAGTTAACTACTGTATATGAATCCTTTGATTTAATACATGTTTTCTGAAGAGAGATAATACTTTATATGATGAACAGATATAATTTAGGCTTTTATTTATTATAATTAATATAATATAATATAATTATGCTTCTACCCGCAACCCTACAGTACACTGTAAAAAAATAAATAATAATAATTCAGCCAGTGTCATGTAATTTAAGTTTAAATGACTTAAACATCCAAGTTAATTGTACCTTACAATTTAAGGCAGGATTTTTTTTTATAGTGTACGGAGGATAAGTGGTTTAGAGAATGGATGGATAATACTTCTAAAAAATTACTTTATGTAAAATCTGTTCCATGCTTTAATCATTTTCCTAAAGTGTTTAATTTCTTGATTAATCTTTTTTATGGGCTTGTCTTAGTAAACCATACTATTGATATATGCAAATAATGTGATTAGTTAATCAGCATATCATGTAATTAATTGAATTGAGAGCCCTAATTATATCCTCATCTACCTTTGAGGGAAAGCGGAGGTAAAAGATGTCATCCTATGATGATAATCTGAATGAAAGAGAAATATATCACCGACAGAGGTGTATATCTAGAGGTGAAAATAGGTGTTATGAGCCTATAGGCTCTGTAAATTATGTAAAAGCATCTGCTGGTACTGTAGATGCTATAACTACTAGCAATGAAAAATCTGAGACTCATTCATGAAAAACACAAGTCTATAAGGGGAGTGACTCTCATTGGCTCTCTGTCACAAAAACCAACCCAAAAGCTATATATATATATATATAAAAGATGTTAAGGGCGTAACGGTACATGTATTTGTCCCGAACCGTCACGGTTTCTGTGCATACAATCAGAGGATGAACATAATCAATCAACAGGTCATCCACACTCCAATCCAGAAGGGGGCGTGCGCGGTAATGCAATGCTGTTTGCTGACCTCCACAACAGGAAAAAGAGCAGAAGAAGACGAGATGATCTATGCACCAACCCAAAACGTCCCGGGTTACGTATGTAACCCTAGTTCCCCGAAGGGACGGACGCTGCGTGTAATCGCAGTGGGAACGCCCTCAGCGTGACGCGTCTGAAGCATGAATGAAATCAGTCAATGGAGAGAATGAGCGTACGGCGAGTGACGTCATCGACCAGGAAGCTATAAATATCCCCTGAGTACACAATACGCCAGCTTGAAAGTTACTGAAGCAGCGACCCAAGGGGATGCCGAGAGTATGGCAGGACACGCAGCGTCCGTCCCTTCGGGGAACTAGGGTTACATACGTAACCCGGGACGTTCCCCTTCAGGGACTACCGCTGCGTGTAATCGCAGTGGGAACGCAATACCCACATCCCCATACGACCAAATCCCCGTCGTGTGTCATTAGGAGACACAAGCCGACGAGAGAACCTGAGCCCCGGGAGTGGAGCTAAGATCGAGGGAATAAAATCTAACGAAAGTGTGCGGTGAGGACCAGCCTGCCGCATCACAAACGTCCTGAAGAGAAGCTCCTGAAAGAAGAGCTGTAGAAGCAGCCATACTCCGGGTGGAACGAGCCCTTACAGCCAAAGGTGAAGGCTGATGGGCCGACCCATAAGCAAGTGGGATGGCCTCGACCACCCACTTGCTCATCCTTTGCCTAGATGCAGGACACCCTTTCTTAGGTGACCCAAACAGACGAACAGTTGTTCCGATCTCCTCCACAGGGCAGCTCTGTGGACGTAAGCATCTAAAACCCAAACTGGGCACAGCAAATTAATTTTCTCCTGGTCTGACGTCAGAAAAGGCGGAGGACAGAAAACCTGCAGAACTATAGGTCTAACAGAAACAGTTGGAACCTTAGGAACATAACCTGGTCTCGGAAAGAGAAAGGCCTTAACCAACCAGGAGCAAATTCCAGGCACGAGGGAGCCACCGAAAGTGCTTGAATATCTCCAATTCTTTTTAGAGATGAGATAGCGAGAAAAAGGATAGTCTTAGAGTAAGAAACTTTTCCGAAACTTCCTCGATGGGCTCGAAAGGAGCAAGGGAGAGACCTTCTACTCTCTTAGATGATGGCCAGATCCCAAGCTGGTACCCTCGTGCGAACTGCAGGCCTCAGCCTCAAGGTGCCACGAAGGAAGCGAGACATAAGTGGGTGTTTCCCGAGGGAACCTCCATTTGAAGGGGTGTGGTAAGCAGCTAAGGCCGCCACATACACCTTCAGTGTGGAGTGGGATAACCCTGTGGAGAGACGGTCCTGCAGGAAATCCAGCACTGTACCAACCGGGCAGTTAACTGGGTCCTGCTGGCGCTCTCCACACCAAGAGGTGAAAAGTTTCCACCTCGCGCATATAACTTCCTCGTGGAGGGAGCTCTGGATCGGAGGATGGTCTCAACGACCTCAGCCGAGAGACCAGAATCTATGAGCTGGGCCCCCTCAGAGGCCAAGCCCACAGCCTCCATAGCTCTAGACGGGGGTGAAGGATCGACCCACTCGCCTGAGAGAGCAGATCTCTCCTGATCGGTATCTCTAGGGGAGAGCCGTAGAGGAGAGACACTAGGTCCGCAAACCATACCCGGGCCGACCAGAACGGGGCTAT